TCTACACTAATAAAAGAGAAACATGGTAATTGGCGTATGACCGCTACCCTTTCCATTGGCTAATCAGCAAGATATGCAAATTAGTCAACAGCCAAGATGGCGGCTAATTTGCATATATCAGCCCCAAGCCTCAGACTAAGGCTTTAGGCTGGGGCCTGGGCGGAGCCATCCAGCAATCATTGATGGCGGCAGCGATGGGGAACCAGTGGCGGCAGCGGCAGGAAGCTGGGGCCGGTCCAGCCAGGGAGCCTTGATGGCAGTTGCAGCGGGGAACCGGGGCGGAGCTAGCCAGCGATTGGTGGCGGGGAGCTGGGGTGCCCCAGTCCAGGCCTAAAGCCTTGGCCAGAGGCTTTAGGCTTGGGCCAGGGAGGAGCCAGCCAGAGATCATTGATGGTGGGGAGCATGGGGAGGGTCCGGCCCAGGCCTAACATCTCAGCCAGAGGCTTTAGGCTTGGACTGGGGCGGAGCCAGCCAGCGATCATGAGCCAGTGATAGTTGATGGCAGAGGCAGCTGCAGGGAGCTGGGCGTGCCTCAAGCCCAGGCCTAAACCCTCGGCCTGAGGCTTTAGGCCAGGCCCGGGGCGGAGCCAGCCAGTGATCATTGATGGGAGAGGTGGCGGTGGGGAGCTGGGGGTGCCCAGGTCCAGGCCTAAAGCCTCGGCCTGAGGCGTTAGGCCTGGGCCAGGGAGGAGCCAGCCAGCGATAGTTGATGGCGGGGGCTGCAGGGAGCTGGGGGTGCCCCGGCCTAGGCCTAAACCCTCAGCCTGAGGTGTTAGGCCTGGGTCAGGGAGGAGCCAGCCAGAGATCATTGATGGTGGGGAGCATGGGGAGGGTCCGGCCCAGGCCTAACATCTCAGCCAGAGGCTTTAGGCTTGGACCGGGGCAGAGCCAGCCAGCGATCCTTGATGGCAGTGGCAGCAGCTGTGGGGAGCTGGGGGTGCCCTGGCCCAGGCCTAAAACCTCGGCCTGAGGCTTTAGATTTGGGCCGGGGAGGAGCCAGTCAGCTATCATTGAGCCAGCAATCATTGATGGCAGCCCAGGCCTAACACCTCAGCCTGAGGCTTTAAGCTTGGGCCAAGGAGGAGCCAGCCAGCCATCGTTGATCGTTGATGGTGGCAGCGGTGGGGAGCTGGGGGTGACCCGACCCAGGGCTAATAACTCGCCAGAGGCTTTAGGCCCGGGCAGGGGCCATACCGGCAATTGGTGTGAACTACAGAGGAAACACCTTTTCTGACTGCTGATTGGCTAAGCTCCCTGTATGCCACTGGTAATATTCTTAGTAACTTGGGTAATGAGAGTCCAAATAGGTGATCTAGGGTTTTTTTACTACACTCCTGGAGAAAAAAAGGAAGGTCTGCTGCTGGAGGGTTAAGAAATGTCATATCCTGCCCTAGCAGGTTTGGCTCAGTGGGTAATACCTTGGCCTGCTGATGTTTTGCCTAATTTTATCATAGGAAGGAAGGAAGGAATGAAGGAAGGAAGGAAGGAAGGAAGGAAGGAAGGAAGGAAGGAAGGAAAGAAGGAAAGAAGGAAGGAAGGAAGGAAGGAAGGAAGGAAGGAAGGAAGGAAGGAAGAATGGATGGAAGGATGGATTTTTTCATGGTAAAGGGACTGGAGTCCGTGTTGATGAAAACATCTTGTTGGCTGCAACAGTGCGGTGATGGGGCTGCGGCCTTCCCCTGATCAGCCTGGTTGACTCCCACAAAGGGAGGCCAGACTGTGGCTTAGGCCCACTCCCCAAGGGGAGCAGGGAGCAGGTAGTAGGACATCCCCTAGGACTCCCA